TGTCTCTTGTAGACAGCATATTGATGGATCCTGTTTCTTATCCATTCTGTCACTCTCCGTAAAGACACAGGTATTTTATCAACTATTAGTTTGACATCTTTTCATTAAACAATGCAGTAAAATTTGTTTTACTTGGCATTATGGTAACCAAGACATTTGTATGTAAATATATAATGTAACTAATAATTCATGTTCATAACACAGGTGAGAATTCAAAGCTGAAGAATGATCACCTTATGATTTGGGATTTTAGTTCATTTTATTATATTCTCATTTCTGGAACACTGCAATCCATGTATAGTGTCGTTTCCATGTAACCGCTCATTCATTCATTCATTCAGTAAAGACTTCTTGAAGCTGTAGTATGTGTATTGGTCCCTGGAGACAGTGTCTTTCCTTAAGGAGCTTATATTCTAGTGACAATTTCTAGGCACTGCTTTGTCACACAGCCCTTTACAAGGCACAGCTGAGCACAGAAGCGAATAAAAGGTTCTGTGCTGCTAACAGTGGGCATAAAGACATGCTTTTCACTCCTGTAGGAACAGGGGAGCCATCTCCTGGCAGCAGGTCAGATAACCAAGTCATTCAGCCAGCAGAAGAGACAGCAAGCACCATCCAGCAAGAGCACAAGAACCACCAAAAGAAACTGCAGAAGACTAAAAAACACACAGGCTGACCTACCCACTGTCATGACAGCACACAGTATAGTAAACCAATATTCACGATGAGAAAAATTTAGAGACATTCAGCATGTGATTTAACAAAGCAAGTATACATAGTGCTTCACAAAGGTCTAATTTATAATAACTTATTTTAGTTAAGTTTTAGGAGTAAGGAAAAATATTTAAAAACTCACATGTAACAACTTTTCTTACCGTGTTAGATGAAAAAGTTAAGTCTACTATATTTTAAAAAACTTCCTTAAAATACATTCGCTGAGTTTATTATTAGTCTCATCTTACAGATGAGGGGGGAAACAAAAACCCTAGAGGTTAAAAGTAACTTGTTTTTAGAATAAAACTCAAAACTCCTAAAAAAAACCAGACTGACTGTACCAATAATAGAGGAACCCCCAAGCCTACGGCCCTAAGGTACCTTTTTCTATTTTTTTTTTTTTTTTTTAACTGTTGTGCTTTAAAAGTGACAGTTTACAACTCATGTTAGTCTCTCACTAAAATTTATACAGTTATGTGACCCTAGTTGCTCTTCCTATACTGTGACAGCACACACCACCTTTCCTCCCCGGTTTTCCCATGTCCATTCTCAACCAGTTCCTGCCCCTCTGCCTTCTCATTTCGCCTCCCGACAGGAGCTGCCCATTTAGTCTCATGTATCCACTTGAGCTAAGAAGCACACACTTTACGAGCATCATTTTAATGTCCCATGGTCCAGTCTAATCTTTGTCTGAAGAGTTGGCCTCAGAATGGTTTTAGTTTTGGTCTAACAGAGTCCAGGGGCCATGTCTTCCAGGGTCCCTCCAGTCTCAAACCATTAACTCTGGTCTTTTTATTAGCATTTGAGTTCCGCACCTCACTTTTCTCCTGCTCCATCTGGGACTCTCTCTAGTGTTCCCTGTCAGGGTCATCACTGGTGGTAGCCAGGTACCATCTAGTTCTTTGGTCTGAGGCTGATGAAGTCTCTGGTTTATGTGGCCCTTTTCTGTCTCTTGGGCTAATACTTTCCCTTGTGTCTTTGGTGTTCTTCATTCTCTTTTGGCTCCAGGTGGGCTGTGACCAGTTGATGCATTTTAGATAGCCGCTTGCTATCTTTTAAGACCCCAGACGCCACTCACTGAAGTGGGATGCAGAACATTTTCTTAATAAACTTTGTTCTAACTGACCTACATGTCCCCTGAAACCATGGTCCCCAGATCCCTGCCCCTGCTATTCTGTCCCCTGAAGTGTTTGTTTGCCCAAAGCACCCTCTTAACCTGGAACTGAAGCCACTCCTGGAGGTCACCTTTCAGACAAATACTACACTGACCTATAAAATAAACAATAACACCCATGAGGAATATGCTCCTTTAAACAATCAACTATATGAGACCAAATGGGCAACATTTACCCAGAAGCAAAGATGAGAAGGCAGGTTAGGGCAGGGAAACTGGATGGATGGAAACTGGGCAGGTGGGGTGGCAGTGGCAAGAGTGACACTGCAGGGATGGTAGCCAGTGTCACGGAACAACGTGTGTACCAATTATTGAATGGGAATCTCGTTTGCTGTGTCAACCTTCACCTAACCAGTGTCACGGAACAATGTGTGCACCAATTATTGAATGGGAATCTCGTTTGCTGTGTCAGCCTTCACCTAAAACACAACAAACTCAAAACCTATTGTGGTCAAGTTAATTCCAACTCACAGAGACCCTATAGGACAGAGCTGAACTGCCCCACAGGGTTTCCAAGGCTGTGGTCTTTAGGGAAGCAGACTGCCACATCTTTCTCCCATAGAGCAGTTGGTGGGTTTGAACCACCAACCTTCTGGTTAGCAGCTGAGTGCTTTAACCCCTACACCACCAGGGCTCCTAAAACATGATAAAATGTTCAAAATAGTAATAACTTGTTTTGTGGAAAGCAGTGTCAATGAAAGGCCCAGAGTCCAATATAGCTGATAGAGATTCACTATTGTAAGAAATTAATCAAGAAGTCTGAAGCTTGTGTTGTTTGTTGTATTTACCATACCTAGTGTAAAACCAGCAGCCCTGGTGGCACAGCAGTGAAGAGCTCGGCTGCTCACCAAAAGGTCAGCAGTTGGAATCCACCAGCCACTCCTTGGAAACCCTACAGAGCAGTTCTACCCTGCCCCGCAGGATTGTTATGAGTCAAAATCGACTCAGTGGCCAACAAGTTTGGTTTCACTGTAAAAGGATTAAGTAGTTTACACCTAGGTTACACGCAATTGAACAGCTTCCCCCATAGAATCTACATTTCCTGGTTCTGATTTCAGACCAAAGACAGCAACCACTGATGGTGCACTAAGGGACTGAGCAGTTGTCAGGAACGATCTCATCTTCCATCCTCCGCAAACTAACTGGGCAGTGCAGCGTGGCTCCACCTTGAGGTGAGGTGAAGGACAGCCCCCATGGTACACATTAAGCACACCATAATGTCATCTCAACCACTGAGAAATAACACATGGTAAGGACTTGGTAATATTAGCTATTTTCAGTATATCTCAACTATATACCTGAAAATTACCGTCAAATTTAGTTATTTCTCTATTTAAGGCTTTCTGTTATTTCCTGAGAATACACAGCAAAAGACCTGTCTATGACAGCAGAAACCCGACCTCCTTTAACAAGCAGGTACTAGAAACCAAGCAAATGAGACATGGATTAGAAAAGCAGCCGTCTCGCCGTTTCACAAAATCTACTTACTTCAGAAAGTATTTCTTTGCACAACGGACAGTGTGAGGCGCGGTCGAGGCTGCACTCAAAACATTTTCGGCAAAACATATGTCCACACGGTGTAGTGACAGGCTGAAAGAGCAACCTGAGGGTGAAAAAAATCAGCGTTTTCAGCAGGAAAAGTCCAGAAGAGACTTCCGATAATCTCCTCTTTCTTTAACAAGGATTCCTTATGTAATTCCTTTACTCGTCTAGAATTCACTTCTACCCGTTTCCATTTTATAATTTCCCTTTATCAAAGTTTTGGAAAATAAATCATTACTGAGGTATTAAGTAATTTCTGATAATAAAACGTCTGTTACATTCAGGTAGAGAATTCAGGAATGCTGAGTTTTTAAGAGCTGCATGGATTCCATGCCATCCTACCTCATGCAAAGAGAACACTCAAAGTCAGTCACATCTATGGAGAATCCTGGACTTTCTCCAGTTTCTGAGTCCATGCTTCTTTGAGGTAAGGAAGCTGTATCTAAAAAAACATTTAAATGCTATAATTAACACTGCCACATGTGAATGACAGCATGCAATCAATACATTTCGTCTGGGGAAAAAAAGTGTAATGTTAACAGAGCATGCTGGACAGAACAGTTCCTGTCCAGTAAACAGTACACAGCAATAATTCGGACGGCAGGCACGAGCTAGTTAAAATTCTACCCTCAATTTTCTGCTACTTTTGACTATGAACTCACTGTGGCATCACCCATCTGAAGTGTTCTATTATCTCATAGCTGGATCTATTCACTTCAATATCAACGAGCATTTCTATCAAAGGGTAAACCCCACTGCCGTCGAGTCAATTTCAACTCAAAGCAACTATAAGGGTAGGCAGTAGAAAGCAAAGGAGTCAGATTGGTTCACTGTTGGTAGTTCTGGTTAACATTCTGATGGCCCGTTGGATAACAAATGTAATCTTACAACAAATAATGTGACTTCAAGGCTCTTAAAAAAAAATTCAATTATTTTAATAGGTATGAACAATAAAAAATTGTATGTACTTATACAAAACAAAATCGCTTACAAAACATTCTTACATACTACAATCATAAAACATATAGAATTGTGCCAACTGATTTACTTCTACGGCATCTGTAGCATTCGCAAAAATAAATTTAACATTAGTTTATATAGCCACATATACCATATGACAAAACTCATAAAAAATCAGGTTGATGGACCCGTTTGTCTGTTCTCCCCTCTTCATCACTTAAAATCCTATTTTCCCCAAATGAAAGAGACTCCACCAATCTCAGACCAGAAGAACTAGATGGTGCCCGACTACCAACAATGACCACTCTGATAGGGAACACAACAGTGTCCCTGACAGAACAGGAAAAAAGCAGGGTGCAGAAGTCAAATTCTAGTAAAAAGATCAGACTTAATGGTCTGACAAGGACTGGAGGAATTCCCAAAATTATGGGCCCCACAAACACTGTTAATCCAGAACTGAAACTATTCCAAAAGCCCACTCTTCAGACGAAGATTACACAGGAGTATAAAAAAAAAAAAAAAAAATACACGTGAGGAATGTGCTTCTTAGTTCAATCAGATATACGAGACCAAATGGGCAGCTCTGTGTCCAAAAGCAGGATGAGAAGGCAGGAAGGGACAGAACTGATCAAATGGACACAAGGGAGCCGGGGTGGAAAGGGGGAGTGTGCCGTCACATTGCAAGGATTCCAACTAATGTCACTTTTTGAATGAGACATTAACTTGAGCTGTAATTTTCACCTAAAGCACGATGAAAAGTTTCTGAAAGCAAATCTTAGGGGAAAAAAAAAAAAAAAATCCCATTTTCCCCTCTACTTTCAAATCCTGGGCTTTGCATCCTATAGAAGTGACCCATAAGGCACAGGTCAGGCTTTTTCAAAGTTTTCTTCTCTCTCCCCTCCCCATTATAAGTTCACAAAAATGGAGTAGTATCTTACTCAGTAGCGCCTACTATGGTAAATATATACTCAAGCATCGTAAACTACCTGTGTTTAAAAATACATATATTGAATGCTGGCTTACATTCTGTCACTCTGGAGTCACACAGCTCTATGACAGAAGGGTTTACTGACCTTTCTTGGGGGTTTTTCCAGGGGTGTTCGGGTCAGGCACATCTACCAGATCATCTGGGAACTGTCTCTTTGAACCAGTGCTGGGTTTTATTGAAAGGACGCTGTCTAGTATTTTTTCATCTTCTTCATAGTTTCGACCCATTAGAAAATATAAAACTGAAGCGTTGACATCTCTAAACACATAAGCTTTCTTGGATCGATTCTGGGTAAGAAGGAAAAAAGAATCCTGAATATTAAAGAAATCACATCATAAAAGGGGAAAAAAACAGTTAACAGTAACCCGTCTCAGAAGTCTTCGGAATTAAGAGTTTACTCTTCCTTTATAACTGGTTTGTCTATCAACTTCTGAGTTTTATAGTTTTCATGGTAAAATACAAGACCATTTCTTATCAGTCTTCCTGCGTGCGTATGTGTCCGGTCCCCCTAGTGGCGCAGTGGTTAAGAGCACCACTGCTAACCAAAAGGTCAGCAGCTTGAATCCACCAGCCACTCCTTGGTAGCCCTCTGGAGTAGTTCTACTCTGTCGTATAGGGTCACATGAGTTGAAATCTACTAGGTAGCAACAGGTTGTAGTTTTTTTGGTATACATATATATACACATATACAAGCAGTCCCCGGGTTACAAACATCAGACTTACAGGTAACTCGTACTTAAGAATGGACTTCTATAAAGCCTACTCTATTAAAATCTGAGTTAAATACAATGGTTCATGATAACAAATGCATGCACTACTTTGTGACACTCATGAAAACATTAACGTGGTTTGGAAGCTTTTAAGTGTTTTACATGCATGAAAAGGTAAAACGTATAATATGTACTAATACAAACACTGGACAGACATTGAATAAGAATGGTATGTACCTGTTACAACTTCAACCTACAAAATTCAAGATGGACTTAAGAACAGATCTGGGTGGTAACTCGGGGACTGCCTGTGTATATAACCTGTTGCTGAGTCGATTCCAACTCACTGCGACCCTAGAGCAGAACTGCCCCAGAAGGTTTCCAAGGCTGTAATCTTTTACAAAAGCAGACTGCCACATCTTTCTCCTGTGGAGCAGCTGGTGGGTTCAAACCGCCTACCTTCTGTTCAGCAGCTGAGCCATTTAACCACTGTGCCATCAGGGCTACTTATATAAATGTACATAACATGTGTGTGTGTATGTATATAAAATAAACATGTCATATACAACGTTTTATATATAGACATGTTTATGTGCATATACATATACACACACACACTATATAAATACATATAAACAGATTTCGCCTATTCATAGAATTCCTGTTTTTTCCTCCAAGCCAAAATAAATGCAGTCTCCTGATGTCCTAGGTGTTCTAAAATTCCTTTCTTTCAATCTTCATTTTCACTGTTTCAGCTGACTTCCTTTAAAATTTTCATCTCTCAGACTGAGGAGCTACAAATTGGTCTTGAGAAATAACTTCTAACTAACATAACACCACAATGGGTAAACAACTTGTAAAAACATTTAAAATAAAGGAATTATGTAACAATCAGGATCATACTGAAAACACGTGCACTTCACACACCTTAGCACTCCCTGCATTACGACCCTCTCTCAGAGAAGATGCGGCACTTGAACGGCTGTTAGAATGACGTGTTAGTCCGGTGTTCAACATCCTGCTTTGTATGGAAGACGCTGAATTTTGATGCACATTTCCTGAATCTGGAAAAAACAACTCACATATCACCTGTAAAAATTAAGGAAAAAAAGGTTTGTAAGACACATTTTAAAAAAATGCCTTAAAGATTCAGAGGATGCTCTGAAGCCAAATAGGCTTAAAAAACTGAAAAGATTTACCATATCCCATTCACCAACCGTTTAAAATCCCAAGGTTTTTGAAACCATATAGTCAATGTTTTAAGCATCCTAGCTCCCAGTCTCCTTCCATGTCAATCTTCCCAAATAAAAACTCGACTGCAGTCCAGTTGATATCGACTCACAGCGACCCTATAGGACAGAGCAGAACTGCCTGCTAGGGTTTCCAAGGAGCAGCTGGTGGATTTGAACTGCTGACCCTTTGGTTAGCAGCCAAGCTCTTAACTACTGCACCACCAGGGATCTTATCTAGGTTGTAGGGGTTCCCAAACTGAATTTAATCTGTGATCACCCACAGGATTCAGATCTTTCTAAAACATAGCTCTATTTATAAGAAGAACCAAAATGGTCACCTAGCAAAGAACTTTAAAGGAAGGGAGGATAAAGGGCCACTGATTCTGGTTAAAAAGAATGGGGGGCAGTGACTGCCAGTTAGGCATTCTGCCTGTCATTCAGATGGTCCTGCCAAACCTCAAGGACCCAACAGAATCCAACAGTTTGAAGGAGGCAAGAAAGAGTGACCAGAGTCTTTTCTTCCTGTTCTTCACGTGACAATGTGAGCACCCTGGAATCCATGACCTCCATAGCAACGGGCAACAGCATCCTCAGCTGTTGGTGGCCAGCAGAGCTACCGGTGGCTAACAGGTACAGTCCCACGTTTCACGGGCCTCAACAGGCTAGCACCGTTTTTGGCATCATCTGTGATAGAAGATACTGTCCCACTGAGCAATCACACATAGAATGATAGACAGAAAAATCATCCTGTCTGTAAAAGCACCAGACAAGAATCCGCAAGGCCTAAACCTCTGTCAACAAGCTCATCTCCCTGAGCTTGGACTGAGAATTTCTCACAATGTTGTGGGGGAGGATCAGTTGAAATATGTTCTAAGATTCTTATGAAATTTTCAGATGGGACAAGGCAGGCAGGGATAGTTAAAATAGTAGACTCAAGTTTCAATATTATTTTGACAAGTGGAAATCTAACAGGATTAATAATGACCCATCAACTGTGTAACAAAAGGATGTAAAGTTTTTACTAGACAGTTCTTACGGGGGGGGAAAAACACCTAGTTATTTTGGCTAACTACATTTCTAATGAGAGCCAACAGTGCCAGGCGTTTAAAAAAAAAAACAAAAACAAACAAACAACACCCCAAGATATAGGCCTAAGAGAAAAATAAAAGGTTACTATCTGTAGTTGTCGGACCTGGATACTGCAGCTTGGGGGAGTGGGATGCCCCCGAGGAAGAAATCCTAGAAAACCTGTTCTAGGCAAAAAGGATGTTTGGCCCAAAGAACAACTTCAAGCTAATATGAGAGCTGTTCTCCAATACCTGAAGGTGGTCTGAAATGTAGGAGTGAACCAATTCATCTTCTGTTGCTCAACGAAACAAAACTAAAACTGGTAAGTGGAAATTAGACAGTAGATGTGTAGCAGAAGTTAATAAATGGTGAAAGAAGCAACCTCATAAAAAACATAACTGAGGGTCACTGGAAGTGCTGAGTAAAGACTAGGAGACTAATATACAGGGGTTTTTATACCATCGATTTCTACATTGACTCGATGACCTGTGATGAAAACTGGGCTAAATGTTTCTATGAAAGAACATATTTCTGTATCATGCTGGCAAAGCTTTGCTGAAAATTTTAAGTCCACCTATGTAGCTGAACCGATTTTTTATACATTATCTTATAGGATTCCTTTACAAACCATACAACTCGAAGTTCCAAACTCTAGGGAAGAAAATTTTTTTTTGCCTCTCCAGACTCCCACATCGACCCTGCTTCACTTTATGTATTTCATTATTTCAACCAAATTGAGTATATGTATGTTATCTCATTGAAATATCCTGCTTTATCTATGGACAGAAATATAGCGCCTATCTAGATGTCATTAAGTCAACTTTATCATTATTATTGAGTGTGTTTTTCATTACATTGCCACAGTAATCAGTACTACGTTCATTTTATATGCAAGAGTTATTCAGTATGGACGCAAAGACTATAAACCATGATTTTTGAAGAAAAGTTAAAGGAAATCAGACCTTCTCCGCTTCTTCTTTCACTGTCTGGAATTCAGGATTTAATGCAAGGCAGTAGAGCAACTCCTTCAACATTTCTTTAGTTCTTCCCAGTCTAGAAAGAGCTTGAGCTTTTACATGATGTCCCTGGAGTCATCAAAATAGAAGGAATACGTTTAGAAGACAGCACATATAAGCTTGCATACAAATACCCCGACAAAATCATTAGAACTATTTGTTTTGATTTCACATCAAGGAGGATCAACAAAAATTCATCAAGAATGGCTCTAGTTCTAGTACATCTCCCTGCCTTGGACACTTGTTAAACTTCAGTGTCTCACAAATACTATCTGCAGTTAACACAGGAGTCACCATACCTGAAATTTGCTGCCTGAATCAGCTCTAAGTACCACACTAAGAAGAGAACTGCCTGTCTGCCAACATGAAATTCATTCACTGGTTACAGGTCACTACCACATTGCTGCCTTCAACAAATTTACAGTCTTGTGGAAACAGTCATGTCTAGAAATTACTATAGTATAAAGCATAGCATACTTAAACGTACCATGATAGGAACAAAATGCAATGTGGGTCATTTCCAAGAGTTTTTTTTTGTTTTATGGATGCGGTATCTTCTCAATCTTTGAAAATGTCATCATTTTTCACTAGTTCATGAATTCTGTTTCCACTGGGGTCAGTTGCTCTGGTTATTTTGCCCTTTCTCTTCTGGCCAATGAATCTGGGATCCCTGGTTGTTTGCTCATCTGTAAGCTGACTGTCAGGTCATACAGTAACCACAAGCTTAGCTTTAAGAAAAACTGCCAAACTGTCTTCCAAAAGCCTGTCCCATTTTGCATGCCCACCAGCAATGTACATACAAGTTCCGGCTGCTCAACGTCCCAGTCATGTCACCGTACTCGTGTGGTCACTCTGTAATTTAAGCCATTCCAGCAGACATGTAGTAGCATACATTTCACTGAGGTTTTAATTTGCATTTTCCTGAAGACTAATGACATAGAGCATGTTTTCACATGCGTATTCGGTATCTGTCCTCTCTGGTGAAGTATGTCCCCAAATCTCTTGTTCAACATTTAACTGAGTTGTGTGAATTATCACTGACTTGGTAGAGTTACTTATGCATGCCAGACGGGACTCCTTAAACATATATGCCTTGCAAATAATTTCTTCCAATGCTATGTCTGCCTTTTCATGTTATAACACTATCTTTTGAAAAGCAGAAATTTGTAATTTTGATGAAAACCAGTTTACTAACTTTTTCTTGTACAGTTGTGCTTTTTGTGTCCTAGGGAATCTTGGCCTAACCCTAGGTCAGAGTCTCTCCGTGTTTTCTTCCAGTTTTATAGTTTTCACTTAGATACTTAGGTCTATGGTCCATTGGGAATTCGTTTTTTATATATGGTAAGGCAACGGCTGAGGTTCTTCTGCAAATATCCAATTGTCCCAGTACCATCTGTTGAAAAGATTATCCTTTCCTTACTGAAATACTTTAGTACTACTATAAAAATTAACTGACTCTGTATGTCTGGGTCTACTTTCTGATCTGCCTTCTGTTTTACTGCTCTGTAACTCTCAAGGAAATACCAGAGTCCTGATGACGTCACCTCTACAGTAGGTAAGTCTTGGAATCAAGTAGTATATATCTTACAACTTCATTAATCGTTTTCAGAATTGGTTAGGCTATTCTGTCCATTTCCATATGTATTTTAGAACCAGTTTGTCAATTTCTACAAAGAAAGCAAGCCTATTTTGGTTTTGATTGGGGTTGTGTTGAAATCAACAGTCCACGCGGGGAGATTTGACATCTAACATTGATTCTTCCGATCCATAAACCTGGTATATCTACACATTTAGGTGCTCTTTAATTTCTCTCAGCATGTTTTATAGTTTTCAGTGTACAGGTCTCACAGGTATCTTAAGTCCACAACTATTACTCAAATTTACCCACCAACCACTAACACCAAAGATGAAGAAACTGAAGATTTCTACCAACTTCTGCAGTCTGAAATTGATCGAACATGCAATCATGATGCAAGATAATCACTGGTGATTGGAATGCAAAGTTGAAAGCAAAGAAGGATCAGTAGCTGGAAAGTAAGGCGTTGGTAACAGAAACAATGCTGGAAATCACATAATAGATTTTTGCAAGACCAATGACCTACTCACTGAAAATACCTTTTTTTCAACAACATAAACAACAACTATACACGTGGACCCTGCCAGATAGAATACACAAAAATCAACCTGACTACATCTGTGAAAGATGATGGAGAAGCTCAGGATCATCAGTCAGAACAAGGCCAGGGGCCGACTACAGAACAGACCATCAACTGCTCCTATGCAAGTTCGAGCTGAAGCTGAAGAAAATTAAAACAAATCCGTAAGTACCAAAAATTCAGAAGAGATAACAAAACTTTTGATTATATCCCACCTGAATTCAAAAATCATCTCAAGAATAGACTTGACACAATGAACACTAATGACTGAAGACCAGGGCTTTATGGGATGACATCAAGGACATCGTACACGAAGAAAGCAAAGGGTCATTAAAAAGACAGAAAAAGGGGAAAAACATCAAAATGGATGTCAGAAGAGAATCCGAAATTTGCTCTTGCACATGGAGTAACTAGAGCAATAGAAGAAATGATGATGTAAAAGAGCTAAACAGAAGATTTCAAAGGGAGGCTCGAGAAAACAAAGCAAAACATTACGATGACACATGCAAAGACCTGCAGTTAGAAAATTAAAAGGGAAGAACACATTCATAATTTCTCAAGCTGAAAGAAATTAAGAAAAAATTCAAGCCTCAGGTTCCAATATTCAAGGATTCTACGGGCAAAAAACTGAAAGATACAGGAATCATCAAAAAAAGATGAAAGGAATACACACAGTGCCCGGACCAGAAAGAACTGGTCAACATCCAACCATTTCAGGAGGTAGCATAGGATTAAGAACTGATACAATGAAGGAAGAAGTACAAAAGCTGCACTGAAGACACTGGTGAAAATTCAGGCTCCCAAAATTGACAATACCAATTGAGATGTTTCGACAAATGGCTCCAACACTGAAAGCGTTCACTTGTCTATGCCAAGAAATTTGGATGACAGCTACCTGGCCAATCGACTGGAAGAAATCCATATACGTGCCCATTCCAAAGAAAGGTGATCCAATGGAATATGGAAATTATCTATCAGTATCATTAACATCACACTCAAGTAAAATTATGCTAAAGATCATTCACAAACGTTTGCAGCAGTACATCACAAGGAACTGCCAGAAATTCAAGCCAGATTCAGAAGAGGGCGTGGAACAAGGGATATCATTGCCGATGTCAGACAGATCCTGGGCTGAAAGCAGAGAATACCAAAGATATGTACCTGTGTTTTACTAACTATCCTAAGGCATTCGACTGTGGAAATCATAACAAATCATGGATAACACTGAGAAGGATGGGAATTCCAAAACACTTATTCGTGCACATAAGGAACCTGTACTTAGACCAAGAAGCAGTTGCTTGAACAGAAAAAGGGAATACTGCGTGGTTAAAATCAGGAAAGGTATGCGTCAGAGCAGTATCCTTTTACCAAACTTATTCAATCTGTATGCTGAGCACATCATGGCACCAGGATTGAAGAAGACTCACTGACAACCTGTGATATGCAGATAACACAGCCTTGCTTGCTGAAAGCAGAGAGGACTTGAACTTACTGATGAAGATTCAAGACCACAGCCTTCAGTACGGATTACAAACCCCAAAACCCACTGCCGATGAGTCAATTCCGACTCATAGCAACCCCAGTGTTTTTCCAAAGCTGTAAATCTCTACAGAAGCAGACTGTCACATCTTTCTCCTGCAGAGCCACTGGTGGTTTTAAACTGCCAACTTTTCAGTTAACAGTCAATCGCTTTAACCACTGTGCCACCAGGCCTCCTTCACTATGGAGAACACCTCAACATAAAACAATCCTCACGACTGGACCAATAAGTGACATCATGACAAACTGAAAATACTGAAGGTGTCAAGGATTTCATTTTACTTGGATCCACATCGACGCCCATGGAAGCAGCACTCAAGAGATCAACGACACCCTGCATTAGGCAAATCTGCTGCGAAAGAACTTAAAATGTTAAAAAGCAAAGATGTCACTTTGAGGACTAAGGTGCACCTGACCCATGCCATGGTGTTTTCAATAGCCTCACGTACACATGAAAGCTGGACATTGAATAAGAAGGATCAAATGCTCTGGGCACGTTATCAGGAAGACCAGTCCCTGGAGAAGACCATGTGTGGTAGAGGATCAGTGAAAGAGAGGAAGATCCTCAAACACATGGATTGACACAGTGGCTGCAACAAGCTCAAACATAGCAATGATTGTGAGGATAGCACTGGACCAGGCAGTGTCTCCTTCTGTTCTACATAGGGCCGTTATGAGTCAGAACCCACGCAATAGCACCTAACAACTCCCAAATGTAACATAAGTTTAAACAAAACTAACGGTATTATCTCCAAATTTATTCTACAAATTGTTTTCTGCTAGTATATAGACATACAATCAATTTTTTATTGTGTGGGTTTTTACATATCTACTTATATCCTGCAACCTTGCTAACCTATTAGTTCCAGGAGCTGTTTTGTCGATTCCCTAAGACACCCTTTATAGACAATTACGTATTCACTGCTGGTAAGTGGTAAAAGCAAACCTCTGCGTTCTTGAGCTTAGGGGAAAAGAATTTAGTTTTCTCCCATTAAATATGTTAGCTATAAGGTTTTTCATATACACTTAACAGATTTAGGTAGTCCCCAGCTATTCCTAGTTTGCCCAGAGTTTTTATCAAGGAGTGTTGATTTTTCTCCAAAGGCTTTACCTTCATTTTCTACCTATTTTTCAGCCTGTCAATATAGACAGATTTTCACGAGGTGTTTTTTTTTTTTTTTTTTAAACTTTCTTCCGCTGGTTTTATTATCAGGGTAATGAATGTTCTATTTTCTGGTAGAAGTTTTTAAGAATTAGTGTCCCTGGTGGCACAGCAGTTAAGAGCTCGGCTACTAACCAAAAGGTTGGCAGTTTGAATCCACCAGCTGCTCCTTGGAAACCCAATTGGGCAGTTTTACTCTGTCCTATAGGATT